AAAACTGATACAGTGGCTTCTGGTATTTCATTGTTGCAAAAATGGTGTCTGCTTTTTGTGAAGACACTCTATTTTATTGAATGTGTCATATGCATGGCTTATCCTTCTCATGCACTGAAGGCATGTCAATGCTGATAAAAAACCCCATGTAATAACTCACTGGCTTCTCATATATCACTGACTCAGTCAATAAAATATATAATTGTGATGCTAATTAAATTGCGATTTTAAGGCTGTGTCTTTAACAAAGGGATTTTTTATACCTACCCAGAATTAAAACCAGAGCTATCAGTCTAATTCAGTATAGCTGTCAATTCTAAAAACAATACACAGAAGCTGCAACTTCTTAGCTTCAGAGGTGCAGGTCTGAGGAGGTGTAAATCCTCCACTGAAGAAGAATGCACAACATGCTGCCTGCTGTTTAATGGATGCTACATGTATTAACAGAACAGAGACCTATAACTACATAAATCCCCCCAAAAATAAGCTATTCATCTATTTGTGAAGTACCAGTGCTGACTGCTTAAAACTGGCAATCCAAAAATGGCAGACCAGTACTCGTCTAAAGAATTAAAACCCTAAGCCAATGTCATGTGTAGTCCTCTCAGAAGCAATTATTTATTCTAGTATTCTAGTTTGTCTTGAATGTGCCTGGTATGTTTTTATATGCTGTGAAAATAAATACAGTGGTTTAAAGCCCTTGAAAGTTCAAGTAGGTATTAAATAGTCAGCACTGCAGAAATGCAGGGTCTGATTTTCTGAGATCATCTGTGCTCTCTGTGAATATCTGATCCGATTCAGCACATCTGGGCATTTCTTCTACAGCTGCCAGGGAGATGGCCATGTATTCACAGGGCTTTCCCCTGTACCACCTATTGCAAGTGGTTGTGGTGGCCAAGGCAAAGACCAGGCATAGAGCAGGCTCATTTGAGCTAGTAATCAGATAACATTTGAAAATTAGTATTTACACCCAGATGGAAAAAAACCCCAGATTTATAGGGAGAGGTCATACTCGTATTAGGGCAACTTCTGTAGTTGGGAAAAACTGACAAGCTTTTAGACAGACAAGACCACTTCTGGTCTGGAACAGAAGCAGGAGTGTTCAAGCTAAGACCAAGATGAAAACAACTGCTCTGCTTTTACTTTGTCAAGCACTGTTCAGACTGATTGGCCACCTCCTAGAGCCTGGAGAGTCATCAATCACTGAGTTATGAAGAAAAGGTTTTTGGTCCAGTTATCTCAGTCTGTATTAATCCCACATATGGCTCCACCAGCTTCTGTAGGCAAACATCATTATCCAAGCATTTAATGATCATTTCCATTGAGGATTTGTTTATTTACAGTAAAAGGCAGGGTGGCCTTAGTGGGCAGGACTCAAGGCTGAAACTCTGAAGCCCACTCTATCTTCCCTAAGCTGCTGGTTTACTGAGTGATCTGCAGTGAGTGGGTCTGTCAGCTTCTGTGTGGTAAATAGGCATAGCAAAACTGGCCTCCTTGCAAAGTCCTTTTATATCTACAAAGGAGAGGTGTTGCATGGCAGTTATATATGTCTCCATTACTAGCTCTTTTTCATGTGGTTCTTTTAATAGACATTTGTGTTCTGATAGTGTTACACCCTGCTCTCTTCTGAATAGGGTGTAACACTGCTGCTGATGCTAGTGTATTTGTGTTATAAAATATATTTATATTATATAATATATTATTGCCACCTTGCAAAAGGACGTAAGCACAGGGGGAGAAAGGACAAAAGTGTCACAATGACAACTTTCAGTGAAAACTGAAAGAGGGAGCTGTGGGAGCCTTTGCACATGTAGAATTTCCCTAAGACTTTCTCCACTCAAAGCACAGGGCCAGTTGACTTCAGCTCTCAGCATTTCTGCATTTTAGGCCCCAGGTGTCTCTTGCTGAGCACCCAGAAAATGAAGCCAACCACTCAAGAGGGAGGAAATTCCAGAATTATGTCATCATGCCTACACGTGGGGAGGGGAAAGGAGCTAATCGTGCCCAGACAATCCAAATTCTGGCATTTGCTAAGATTTTAGCATTTGACTCACAACCCTATCATTCCTTTAGTCAAGTTTCTCTGTGTATGTGTATATATTTCTCAGTAAATAAATAAGGACATCTAAATCATGTCTAATCTGCTAAAAACTCCTGCACCGCTTTCTCAGTTAAACTAATTTATTGATGTTTGTGCCCTTGAAAAAAGTCATGCCATGTGTTTTAGTAACCTTTACTTCCATTGATCCCTACTCTGCATTACAAGCAGGAAAGGGCTATAGGCAAGTAAATAATTTGATGCCCAAAATCAGGGAGATCAAGGACTTCTAGAAAAAGGATAAATTTGCTTCACTTCAACCTGAAAACCTGCTACTAAATCTCAAGTTCTAAATTTGCTACATCATTCCTATCTATTACCAAACTGCAAGCAAAGCATTAAAAAGCATTGCAAGAAGCCATAAAAATCCCAGACGTTTCAGTTGAATATTGGTGTCATTTTTGTTTGCTGCCTGAAAATTTTCTCAAACCTTTCACCTTTTGAAACTTCCCTGCACAAGCTGGCAGGCTAGAAACAAGTTAAAAATTGAAGCAGAAATCCATAATTAAACAGCTGGTTCTGACAGTTGATGCTTTAGGGAGTGAAAACTTACAATGCAAGACTCACAAAACTTTTGTAGGAGCTGATTTTATTAGTATCTGCCATAATTCTGTCTGTGTGTATATGTACATATATATCTGTACAGCACTGTGATCCTATCAGTGTGTGCATGGTACTTGAGGTTAGCAGAGTATTCACTCCCTGCTGCACCAGGTGCTCACACTTCTCACCTGTTCTTTGAAACTGGGAGTGCCTCTCTCTTCCGTGCATCCCCATCTCCACTAGTGCCACAGAAGGACCTTTTTTCACCCCTCCTGTGCAGCAGGAGAGCTCTTCTTGCTGACTCTCTGCTGACTGTGTTGGATGCTATCTGTCTTTCAGCCAGTGGACAGAGCAACATATTTACCCTGGCAAGCTGAACCACCCTGGCTTGCTCTCTAAAAGTTCTTCCTTAGTCCTTATGTGTAGGGTACCTAGGGAAAAGTAGGCACCAAAGGGAGGCATTGTGAGTACCCTACCTTTTTTCCACTTCAAGTTCCATGTTCTGACAAATCCCTGATAAAGGAGTGGCATTCATTAGTTGAGCTTTTAATTCTGGAAATGTCTGTTCATCCATGCTGGATTCTTCCTCCCTTTCTAGCTTGTGAAGCACATGGTTATCCCTCGTCCCTGGTGGCTGGGGAGACGAGCTTTCCTTTTCTCCCCACTGCAGTCACTAGCAGTAAGGGGAATGATGGCACATTTTCTGCCAAGATTTCCTTGTTTTCCCAATAGGGAAAAGCATATCTGTCCATGCTGAGACATTTCCTTACAGTATGTGTCTCAGCCATGATCTCCAGCCAAGATACTGCAGAATGACAGTCACAGAATATTCTGAGTTGGAAGGGACCCACAAAGATCATTGAGTCCTGCTAGCAACATGTCCCCTTTGGGCTCCTGAGAGAAGTCCTAGGGTAGGCAATGTGGTGGGAATAGTATGGTGCCTATTACGTTATTCAAAACAAAATACAGCTGCCTGTTCCTGTTGGTTGAACGCAACCTGTCAGCACCACCATCTCACAAGAAGCCAGGACTGATTACAGCCAGCCTGCACAGCAGAAGGTGCCAGAAGGACCAGTTGGAGAAGCATGATATGTTTTCCTCATTAGCATGGCAGGTTAGAGCAAGAAGTGTGCCTGGAGAAACACCACAACACAAGGAACTGTATGGTGACAGCGGGTTGCTCAGAAAGCCCCAGAGGAACTGCAGTGCTTTTCCTGATGGCTGAATGCCCCAGGGACAGGACAACATGTGCTCTCTCATGCCATAAACCAACACAGGGTACCAGTGATGCTTGCTATGCCTTGGTGGTATGTCAAGCTCCAAAATAACTGCAAAGTAATTCCTCCATAGCCTGTGGATTTACTCATCCTTACTGTTACTTTTAGGATGAGATCTATTTTCAGTCCTCATAGTTCACAGAATCTAGAAAGCTGTATGTCTTTGTCCTCTCAAGAATGTGAGTGGGCTGGGTGCCAGCCCTGGGCACAGGGAAAAGGAATCACATTGCTGTAACAATCTGGTAACAAGTAATGAGGGCTAGGAAGACTCTGAGCCATTTTGGTTCATCGCTGTCTTTCCAGCTCTGCTTGTGTTATATTATGGTCTGGGTCCTTGTAACTTCAGAGAAACATCAAGGAATGAATGGTTTGCCCTCCTGAATAAAATGAGAACATGTGAGTGTGGGGAGAGAGGGGGAGGGAGAGATGCATTTGCATAGGTCAGGAAAGGTCATTAAAACATCTGGCAGTAGTAACTGACATGTGTCAAATTTTAGTGTTCATTAAATTTGTATTAATGCAAGAATGATTCCTAAGCTCCAAATGCCACTTTTGGTTGCTGTATTCCCCCAGCTGATGGTGATGACTTTTTAGAACTGTGCCATACTTGTTTCCTTGCTAGTGGCATCTGACCTGAGGTCAGTTTTCTGTTTAACCTATTCCTGTAGGTCAAAAGACAAATTAATCTGGTGAGAATTGAATTGGAAATGAGGTATCTGGATAGCAGGTGTCCCAGCTGTGGAATAGCTGCCAGGCTGAAACATGTTTGTATCCGTCCTCATGCCATCCAAGAAGTCATATCCGAGGTCAAGGAGATATTCAGTTGACATCTGAGATGGGAAGTTATGGGGAGCAGAAGTGGCAGGTGCCCTGTGTGAGCAGATTGTCTTGCAGTTGGGAGGGAGATGTCTGAGAGTGTCACTCTGAGCATAAATATACATGTTCCATGTACTGGGCACTTTGCTTTACCTGGGTTTGCTGCTATTTCACAGTTGTAAACAAGTCAGACAATTTCCAGGCCCTTTAAAGAGGAGAATCTCATAAATCTTTTTCTTCCTTTTTTTTTTTTTTTTTCTTTTCAGAGGATGAAGATGACGAAGAGATGGTGGAACCAAAAACACAGGATGACTTGGAGACAGAAAATCAAGACCAGAAGCAGGAGGTGAAAGAAGGTACCTTAAAAAATCAAAAGGATGACAGATGTTTAAAGGACTGGATCCTGCCAGTAGTTACTCTTATAAGTAGTCTCCACTATTGAGAACACAAAAATTTTAAGTCACCAGTTTTATTGATTCAAAACCATATGAGTAGCATAAAAGCAGAAAACTATCCCAGACACCCAGCTGGTAGGCCTGAGAAGATTGTGACAGGCATGAGACTTGAGCTGTTTAGAAGAAGCTACGTGTCCTTATAATTTGAAAATGAGTAGAGATTCTTGGATCCCAGTACAGGTACTAATTTGTCCTCTGGCTCAAATATCCTGCTTATGTGAAAAGATTTAAAATGGGAATGCCAGCCATTCCAGCAGCTCTATAAAGTTTGTTGGTCTTCAGAGGTACTTGGAGCCTGTAACTGTCTGCCTGCTTGAGATGAACAGACTTAAACCTAGTGGTAGTCAGGAATCTTCCAGCAGAAAATAATTTCACTTGAAAAATCTTTTCTGTCAAAATCAAAACGTTTTGTGGGAACTGCCTCAAGGAACTTAAAAAAAACCCTGAAGCCAGACAGGACCAGCCCTTCTGTCCATTACTCTGCATTGAGGTGCTCTGCATGGTTACAAGAGACGAAAATTCAGGTTACTACTTGCTTCTGGTGCAGACAAGAGACACTTGTTTAAGTTATGCATGTCAGCACTGGATGTAGTAGATATGCTTGGTGTCTCTTTTCCTTTCCTTAGACCTGTCCTAGCTTTCAAATTAGAAAGAGGATGCGAAATTTGGCCTTCCTCATCTAGAAATTTACTAGGGTATTGGCTATTCTAGTGTGTCAATGCCTTCAACAGTCAATGCTCACTCCTTTGTTGAGTAGGGAAAAAGAACTGAAATAGCAGCAGCTCCAGGGTAGAAGGAAATGGGTTTCTTCTCCAGCATTTCTTACTTCTGTATTGCCATGACTGCTCAAAATTCTGTTTAGCTTCTTGAAAGGTATTTTACTTCTTCAGGTAGGGCCTAAGTAATTTCTTGCTATGGTGATTCATTACCAGGATATTTGAGCCGTAAGCTTGGTTTTCCCAAGATAATCTCACTAGGGGAAAAATATGGAGCCATTTTACATGGAAGTCCATGAAATCTTCAAGTGGAAACACAGCAGCTGATGCTTGTTTCTCATCCAGGGGAGACTGGTATATTTTCATCAGTATCAAAAAAAAAATTAATCAGGTACACAGTGCCGACATTTGCTATCCTCACCCACTGAAGTGAGTTGCAGTACCAGCCATACCATTTTGATTATAAATTGATCTTTCTTCCCTCGTTAGAGCATCACAGAAATCACCAACGCCATAAATTCTGCAGTGTTCATTGCTCGTTCACGTCCTTGTAGAAATGTGGAGAGATAAACTCAGTCCTCCTGCTCCTCATCATTCTTCATCTTCCACTGACCATCTTCCACAGCCACTGATGCCATGGGCAGAGGGGAGCAGTGGGCACAGCAGGAACAGGAGTCAGGCAAGTCTGCAAAGGCAGAACTGAGGATGTGAGCAAGGAATGTGTCGACATAGAAAATCTTCATTTTTCATGAAAATTAATATTCCTTCCAAAACTGTGAGGTCAGCTTGCATATGGGATTTTGCAGTCATGGGACCTAACACAGCATCTCTTTTACTGATGGCAACAGAAAGCCATAAAAACCTCTACTAATGCACACAGTGCTTATGCACTGTCCAGAGTTGCTGAATGTCCCTGTAGTATTCAACTTACAGCTTACCCCACAACCATTTATTCCCACAGAAAAGTGATGCCAATGCTTATACACAGGGAGAAAGCACAAACTCCTGCAAGAAGAGAAGAGCAAAACAGAACCCTGAACTAATTTATTTCACTTTTTTTATGGTCTTTCAAGTTAGCCTTTTATGTACTTTGCTCATCAGCCACCACTGCCAACATCTTTTATTTTTTTGCTGTGTTTTAGTCAGAGGGCAGTGCTCCCCTTCCCTGCCTAGCAGACCCCCAGGAGCAGTAGATCATCTGGGCTGGTTTAGCACTGGTCTCAGACACTCAAACTGCAGGCTGTAAAAGCAAGGCACAGCTTGTTTCAGCAGAACCGGCTTTGTGAGGTGCTAACATTTGACGGGGTTCAAGGAAGGAGAAAACATGCTCATTGCCTGATAGAAAGCGAACTTGACCTGTAGTATGTGTTGTGATAGATAAAATAGTGGTGTGCTGATGACAGGCATTAAATGCTGTGAATCAAATGAAGCCATTGTCCCCAAACTGAGATGGAACGGAGTCCCATTTTTTAGTGCTTGGTGTCATTCTCTTCCTGTTGGCTTTAGCTCTTTTGCCTACAAAATCCCATTTTCCTCTCTGTTGTAATCACCCTTCTCATGTTCTGAGCAACATTCAGAGTTATAAGCCATCGTTTGTGTTTCATGGAAGTGATTAAAACCATGTTACAAGTCAAACAGGAGTTTAGAAGAACATTTCCTGTCGGTGCTGCACTCTGTGTGCCTACTCAGAATTAATAGCTTTTCTGCAAATTAGCACATAATGGGTTAAAAGCATGTTTATGTTGGCATTAAGTACTCTGGCTTCTTTTTCTCTGCAAGGCAAGACAATATTTTGCAAACTTTTTTAAGAATCTCTAATAGACATTATAGTGGCGCCATTCACACTGCTATATAGTAGTTAAGGCTGTGTCAGCACTTCCATTATGAATCCTGTTTTTCAGGGATTTATAACCCAGACGTAAAAATTTGCTCTGGGCTGAAATTTGGTTTCAGCTCAGGGAGCACATTTTTTAACAGATTAAAAAAAATCAGCATGGCCTTTTTTGAGTTATAGGAGTGTTAAGAAAAAATCCATGGGAGAGAGAAGTGCAGGGAGAGAAAGGCAGACCATTTTTGCATGAATATAACTCAAAAATCGGTCAGGATAAAAAACAAAGTTTGGATGCGGTTTGTTCAGTCTCCTCTCTCCAAACCTACATGACAAGAGTGCTCTATTTTTACAATGGTATTTTAAGAGGAAATGTGATTTTTTTTTTTTTCTGTGTGGTTTATAGGTAGTTCAATTGAATTCTTCAGACATTTATTTCATGCTTAATTTCCTCATCTTCCCCCTGCACACCCCAGAGTTGCTCTGTGTGGGGTTTGGTGGGATTATTCAGCAATCAGGGGTGTTTGTAGGGTCTGACCCTGCTTCTGGACATGTCCCAGCATCACTGTCAGGCCCACAGTGCACCTGTCCTGGCAGGGGCAGCCTGTCTGGCATGGCACCTCTTGCAGAACTTCACTGCCAAGGAGGTGTGAAGGGCAGAAGAGCAGCTCGAGTCCCCCGAAGTGGAGCAGGAGATGAAGAACTGACTTGTTGACCACTTGAAGTGTATGAAGCCTTGGGACCACCTTGTGTTCCTTCTGTGAGGCTGCCTTTTGCCACCCATGTCTCGTGTGCATGTGCTCCCCATTGCTTTTGGAAGAACTGAGTGTGGGATACCTCACTCAGGGCTCTGCCTGTTCCCAGCCTCTCCTGACCACATAAACAAGAGTCCGGTCCCAAACCATGGCATCAAGTGGGATGGGGTTTTCCACCACCAGAGAGCTCTGGAGCTCCACCTAAGGCTCCTCTTTGTGTCAGTAGAAGCCACATGAACAATGGGACAGGCTTGGTCTTGAAAGTGGGCCTCAACCTGCATTTATCTGAAGCCATGGGCATATCCACAGGAACTTGCATGGAAGTCTGAGATGGGAAAGGCTGGGACCTGCAGCTCCAAAGACCTGCTGCACCCTGCTCTAGCACTGGCTCTGTGCATGGAGCTCAGGTGTCCACAGAGCAGGCTGGGCTGGTGGGGATGGTTTCACTCTCCACAGCTCAGGCATCAGTATTGGAAAAGCAAGACAGGCTGTGGTGATGTTTGTCATTGCCAGAAATGCCACGGTTTCACTGCCACCAACACCACAGTGAGCTCAGGTGTGCTGACCCATCCTTACGGTCAGCTCAGGCACGCTCAGGGGTGGTGTCCAGCATGACCCCTGGAGAAGCACAGGCAGTGGAAACAGCCCTGCCTGGCACAGTATCAAATTTTAGGCTCTGCAACTTGCTACTCCATAGTAAAAAGTTCCCTAAATAAAGCTTGAAATCTTCCTTTTTATCTTCAGTGGTTATGCCATGAAGTGTCTTGCCAGCACAACAAAGACATGACATATATCAAACCATGGTATGGAGCACAGCAAAGCAGGATATGGCATATATCAAGCCTGAGATGAAAGTGCAAAGCACAAGAAAAACAGGAGGATCACAAGGTATCATCAGGCAAGGACTGAAAGCTGCTAAGAGCCACTTCACACTTTGCAGCTCTCACCCTGTACCTTTCAGCCGTCCTCCGTAGTCAGCACATCTGAAGTTTACATGGATTTAAATAGATGCTGAAAGAAATATTAGAGCTCTTAAAGGGGTTTTAATAATCTCCTTCTGTCTCTCATTATATCTCTGGGTTGATAACAAGGCTGCTTCCTGCTTTACTATTTTTATTAGTTTGCCCTTTCTTTCATTCGCATACTCCTTATGGTCTTTTTCTTTTGGTTTGGTTTTGGTTTTTGTTTTGTTTTTTTTCCTTTAATGGACTTGATTTTCATTTCTCTTGTCAAGTTTTTAGAATTGCTGAGATTCCAGAAGAAGCTTTGTTTTATTTATTTACATGTGGGGTGGGGTTTTTTTTTGTTTTGTTTTGTTTTGTTTTGGGGTATTTTGGGGTTTTTTTTCTTTATAATTTTAACTCGCTTGAGAGAAGACTCAAATCCTGGTACTTGAATATTTCTAATTTTTTTCCTGCACTGTTTTCCCAACTATTTATGTTATATTTACTACAAACATGCTTCTACTGAATAAGAACAAGCCTAAGGCAATTTTATCTTTGTTCTTAAAGATTCAAAAAGATGTTTCATTATAATTTTTTGTTTCTTTCTGTTTTGTCCAAATAAATTTATGGACAAAGGACCTGATGTGATATATGGTATTTCTGAAGATTATGTTAAGTCACATAAAATGATAAAATGTTCTTATTTTTGTAAATACATCATGAATAAATTGGTTGTTTTCACATCACGTTCAACTATTGTTTCATGTTCTAGACCTTCCTGTTCAAGCACATCTTTCCTTACAGATACACCTCGCAATTTCTTTCCCTGTAGTGTCCTCTGTGCATACATTACTCTGTACAGCAATTTAATTTTAAATGTAAATTCCACTTTGTTTTGTACGGTATTATCCATTAGCATGAAGACAGGGCTTCTTTGGCACACCTTGTTGAGCACAGCCCCAGAGCCCTTGCTGCTGGTGGGTGCCACCCATGTCTCAGGGGGTTCCTGGGCAGACACGATGCCCGGTGCTCCCGTAGGGCAGCACTTGGTGGCTTCATGGATCCTCCTGCCATGAGCTGTGCAGGGCCACAGACGGGCTCAGCTCCTGAGGGTGGGATCACAGCACAGGCACTACAGTTCATCAGGAAGCTATGGTGTTGCAGCAAGAGCAAACTGCGGAGCTCTCTTTGCAGGAATTTTCACTGCACTCTGGGCAATAAGCACGTAACTTTTAGCAGTGGTAAACTACACACTGCGCTGGGCTTTGTTCAGCACAGAAGGTTAGATGTGGTCGGTTTGGGTTTTATGCCAAGGAGAGCAGATACTTGAAGACAAATACTGTATTCTTACAGGGAATTTCTGGAGATATTGTCACATCACATAGGTCTCTGTGACAAAACAAAACAAAAAAACCACTTTGATCAGCTACTTATGTTTCTCAGTTTTCCTTGAAGAGAGCCCGTGTTTCTTGAAAGCTGAGATCAAAGTCATTGTAAGCTCCAAGATTGGAAGAAAAATTGCAGAAAATTACATAGGTTCTTTTTATTTTATTTGAGGTAATGGACAGACAGGGAGAAGGAACAAGGAGAAAATGGAAATGTCTCTGAAAGATAAATGGTTAGAAAACCTCCATATTTGAAAGAACAAACCTGTCTGTTTGGGGTTGTTTTTTTTTTTGCTTATACTTCATGTATTTACAGTAGTTACAGCAATGTTTTACACTGGAAAAAGTAATGATGTTAACGTTCTTGTAAGAAGAGATTGCCTCAAATAAAACTTCAGAGGCAGCCGAATGAAAGAAGAAAATAAGGCTAAAATATGAAGCTTAATATTGCCAGGGGGCATCTGGTGTGTCAGTCAGATGAATGAGGTAAGCTGATTTATGCCCTAAAAACTTTAGCCAAGGTGTTCCTGATGGTTTAATAGACTGCTGGCCTCCCACAGATCATTGCTAACTGCAAGGGAGATTTTGCTGAGGTAGAACTACAATCATGTGTGCCTCCACTGCTTGTGAGCACTCCACAGATCCCAAGTTGTTTATTTTTTGCCTTTTCCCTTTCTATTGATTTTGGGTTGTATTTTCTTTGCAGTTATAGTCAGCAAATGCTCGAGTAATAAATTCACATTTCCAAGCTGTAGAGAGGATTTGATTTAGCAAATAATTTTTTCCATTTGGAGCAGTTTAAAACGAGTTTTCCATTTGCCTTTGCAGTTATTTTCCCCCTCTTTATGCCATTTTGCTGCATTGTCATGCTTGTTGTCTTTGATTCTCGGAAAGCAATGCTTTAGTGGTGACGATGGGATATTGCCTCATTACAGGCTTCCTTGCCAGATGAGTTCCCTCAGTGCCAATTACTGTTCAGCAGTGGATGCTGCAATAGGTCAAGCTGGACTTTTTTGCTAGTGGTTCTTTTCCTCTCACATGCATGGCTTCTGTGTAAAGCACTTAGGGGCAAACTGTGCTCCTGCCTTGGTAATTGTCACTCTGCTCCTCAGGGGGGGCATGTGAGGGGATGCAGATATTCTCTGGATGTGTGGAGCTCCACAGAGACCACTAATGTGCTGGTAGGAGGCATAGGGCCAAGGCCATAGGAGATCATCAAAGGCTAAAGTTTGTAACTTAGCTGCTCTGTCTCCTGAGGGCCAGATCGCTCCTCCACCTTTTGCATTTCTCCCGCCCTCTCTGTTTAGCTCAGGTGTAGTGCAGAGATTTTGTCTTTCAGAGCTAGCTCGAGGCAAACTTGAGGCAAAGTGTGGTGACAGCAGCCTCTCCCAACCACAGCAGCTCTGAGAGCAGGTATGCTGAAAGCAGAGGTGGCTGAGGATGGCAGGAGTGATGACCGTGTCACTCCTCCAGCCTGCTGCTGTGCCCTGCCATCCATTCCTGTCCTGGGGGCTGGTGGTGGCATCGTGCCCCATCCCGTTGGGCACTGGAGTGCATGAATCCAATCTGAAGAAAAAACCAGATGGAGAGCAAGGGCCACATCTGCCTGATCACTGAAAGAAGCTGTGTGGCATGGCACAGAAACTAGAAAATCATTTTGAGCTGTAGCTTGAAACTGTGTCACTCATTGTTTAATTAAACATTGAGATATGTATGACAGGGCTGGGAGTTAAACTTTGCTGTATGGTGGGTGTTCTCTGAACTGCTGAATTCCCTTTTTTGGCTGCTGGTGTTTTAACCCAATGGGGCCTACGGAGACTGCAAGGTCATTTTCACAGGTAAACACCTCAAATCTGTAGTGTAAAGCCAAATGCAGGAGACCTTTGATCATCTGTTAAACTCTTACATTGTAGTCTCTGCAGTTTTGCAGTAAATCTGTTTATGATATGTTGTTTGTGTTCCTATTTATAAATTTGGAGCAAAATTCTCCATCAACAGAGCTTTTTGTGCTGGGAATTTAGGCTAGGTGCAAGGTTGGTTTGGGGTAACTATAAAGACACTAATGTCATTTCTTGGAATACAAGTGATTCTGAAATATAACCAAAATGATGATTCAGAAGCACATGTGGGCAAATGCATAATCAATATACAATATTGCCTCAGTATCACTATGACCCTGATAGTGTAATTGAGAACAGAATTTTGTACTGTAGTAACATCCAGACTTTCATTCCCTCTGATGCTCATGTTTGAGTTATAATTTACCAACAGGTCATTCAACTGATGGAGACATTGCACTGGTGCATCCTTTAAAGATAGCATTTTTCAAATGAAGGCCAAACTGGAAATATTTGAAGTAAAGGTTTAACATCTCTGTGTACAAGTAGGGAAGCAGCTTCATCTTGTGGGGGACATGCTATTCTTAGTGCTGCCCAAGACAGCCCCTACCCTTCTCAGGGCAGCTCTGCCCACGGCTCGGTGACATTTGTTGCCCTGGGTCTTAGGATTCCTCTGCAAGGAATAACACTCCCTTAAAGAAACTGCTGTTTGGCTGGTTGCTTTCAATTTTGCTGTCTCAGAGAATATCTTTGGTTATTCACTTCATTACTTTGCAAAATCTCTGAAGCAAAGACAGAATTTATCATTGACACCAAGTAGAAGTTGGAAGAATTGAAGGGAAAGATTATGTGAGACCTTTTAATATAAAGAACTGTAGTATAAGTTAAGAAGATTATTTTATCTTCAGCTCCTCTGACAGGTCCTCTGTTACATAAGTGTTCTGCTTTTTCCAGTTAGGTATTGCCTAAACGTCAGTCACGGCCATTTCCTGAAATAGGAACACTGAGTTTATTTAATTTGGGAGGTTTAAGTGTTTTCCATTTCAGAATAATAAATACATAAGATATAAGATCTCGTCTATGTAAAGGCTATATTCTGGTAATATACAGGAGTATGTTTAGACATATTAAAAACTTCTTAGTTGTGATTTTAAGAGTAAAGCTTTGATTTTTTTTTCCTGACATGGCTATAGCAAGCTTTCATGTCAGAAGAAACCCACTGAAGATGTTGATTCATTGGGAAAGGGGTGAAATGTCATACTCCTAACTACATTTTTTCATTTTCCAAGCTCCTCCTAGAGAACTGACAGAAGAAGAAAAGCAACAAGTTCTCCATTCAGAAGAATTCCTGATATTTTTTGACCGCACAATACGTGTAATTGAGCGAGCTTTGGCTGAAGATTCTGACATCTTCTTTGACTATAGTGGCAGAGACGTAGAAGAAAAAGATGGGTCAGTTTGGAGGTTTTTTTGCTTTTGTAAAATAAATTTTATAGAGATAATTCAAATAATAGGAAGCCTTAACTTTAAACAAAATGTAACATTTTTCTAGTTAAGAAAAGCTCATAATCTCTTCATGAAGGCCTGGGTCACTTTGTCATCTGAAATCATATTGTAAAGTAGCATATTGTAAAGCTTGTGCTTTGCTGATCTGGGTTTTGGATTGTTTGTTGTTTGTTTTTTTTTTAATTTGACATATTATTCAGCAGGTTTAATTTTTTTATTTCATTTCTGTGATTGAATTTAAAATTCTGGAAAAATAACTTAAATAGATAAATGTGTGTATATATGTGTACACATAAATGTGAACATTCCAGGAGTGGACGTGTATGTGCTTATGATATTTGCACAAATTCAAACTAGTGCTGTTTATATTCTACTACAGCCTCAGGTCTGTACTGGATCCCACTATACCATGCATTGTGGGGATGAAAATGATCTCCCAAAGCATTTGCAATCTCAGCAGCCAAGACGAGAAGTGACAAGTTTTGTTTTCAGCAACTGATATGGAAGAAAAGCAGTAAAACTTGTTAGTTGGAGAGGAAATATTTACATTGCAACAGCTATGTATCTGTTGAAGCCTCATGGGAAATTAGTAGCTGTGTTGCATGGAAGTTACTGGAGGTTAACCCAGAATATCATCCCTGTGGGCCAGCTGAGTGCATCAGTGTGGCAGTGTTGGGCCAGCACTGAGCTTCAGCCTGTCCTTGCAGTGTCACACAGCATCTGCTGTCTCCATCTCTGGGAGGAGGTGCTGCACCTTTAAGATTTCAGGAGTCAAAAGTAAGAGGGATTTGGTTAGAGCTTGGAGGTGAAGGTTCAGAAAAGGGAGAGCTGAGTTCTCCTGAGTTCATCCCGAGAGAAAAAGAGGCCACAGATGGCCCAGGGTGACTCAGAAGAGTCAGGCAGGCAGTGAGAAATTTAAAAATGTGGTTTTGTGAAACAGATCTAAAATGTGTTCCTTGTTGCATCATTTTCAGCCAGACAGTCAGTGAGAGGAATTAAATCAAGGTGGCAGACTTCCCCAGGCTGAGCAGAGATCTGAGTAGTCAAAAACTTTCTCACTGCTTTTCACAGCATTTGAACCCTGGTACTTGAAAATTTGTCACTTTGTTTGAATTCACACAGAGATGTTCAAGCAGGAGCCAACCTTTCCTTTAATCGGCAATTTTATGATGAGCACTGGTCAAAGCATCGTGTGGTCACCTGCATGGATTGGTCTCTTCAGGTAAGATGAGAAGCTGGGAGATACCTTTCCATACCACTTCCACTTCTCCCTGTAAAACTTATGGGCAGCTTCTGTTTGCTCTTCTTTATGCAGAGCAGGATGTTATTTCTGAGTTAACAGCAGGGCCCTGTGTGAACAGAAGCATGTTTCTCTGTAAAGAAGAGTAGTGAACAATAATGAAGCTGTCATTTTTTTTTGTATATGTTACTTGGTCTTCAAAATCAGGATGTTGTGTTGAAACCTTAGATTAACAAACTTACCAAGATGAAGTCTTTACTTTTCCTTCCCCTTTCACTACTTCAGCCAAAAATGGAAATTGCTTTAGAACAAAAGGTTTAAAATTAAACTAACAAAAATTAATTTATTAAATATGCATAACTATATATAGTAGCATATAAAAATAGAAAAAAAATGGTGAGAAAATTATCTAATATACTAAAACTAAAAATGTGAAAATATCTGAACAATATGGAGAGATGAAAAAGAAGTCTTTCAGAAACTGCTGGGTCCTCTCTTCAGGTGATGGAAGAGGAGGCTGCAGCTGCTCTGGGTCATGCTAAAGTAGCATGCCTGGAATGTACCCAGTTTCTCTGCAGTGCAAAGCATTGTCATTGGAAAATAAAACTCATGATAGACCTGCTTAAGCTCTCCAAAACCAATGCAATCACATCAGCAAAGTGCAGAAACCAGTTTAATTAGTTACTCTGTTGGGGAGCTAGGATTAGCAGACATAGTCACAGGTCCTGTTAAACGAATTTGGTTCTGGTTTTACTCCAGCCCGCCTTGTCCTGTTTCATCATTGTTAGCCTGCTCCTAGGTTCTAGCCTGGAGCAAAGCATCTGGTTTCCCTGGGGAGAGAACCAAGGAGACTAGCCCCTAAATCCACCATACAGATATAACAAAACTGCTCCAAGAGGACATTGAGTTGAAAAATGCGAGCACAAGCCGGTCTGCCTGCTTGGCCCCAAACCCAGCCTCAGGTGTGCCACAGAGTCTCCAGAGACCTGGTGCAGCCTGGTGTGGGTAGCAAAGGTGTATACTATAGATGTAGATGTGTGCTATAGATGTAGTCAGCCCGGTGTTATGAGCAAGTTTTGCCTAATCTTAAAGGAGCAGCTCTTTCTGCACCACATTAGACATGCACATGAAAAGAGCAAGTGCTCAAGGTCAAGTACATAAATGTTGTGTGCAGGCTGGAGAGAAGCAGTGGATAAGGGGCACAGGAACTTTCAATCCATGCCTCTCTCTTTCCCCTTGAAAAGGCAGCAGAGCTGCTTGCATCCCGCTGGGTACTTCCCAGGCAAGGTGGCAGCTGACTGCCCAGAGGACAGGGAGGCAGCAGGGGAGAAGAATCAGGGGGTCCCACTGGGCATGGCTGCGAGGCTGAGGAGGTCTGGGTGGTGCACAACAGCCAGCTGCAGAGAGGCTTCTTGTAATAGCCAGCTTGCACCCCATGTGTGAAATGAAGGATTTATACCTTTGCTTTCATACAAAATATCAGCCTAGCAACAGGTATGCACTATTGTGATGTGGGTGGCCTTTAAGCACATATGGATTTCCACAGAAATCAAATATAAGCCTGAGGAAACACTTATCTTAGGTTGTTCACTTGTTCAGGGGCTGGAAATTACATGGAATTCTTATCTGATATTTTCCTAACAGGCAGCTCTTACTGTATTCCCAGGGCAGCAAGAAAAAAAGCCGCCTCAGAAGAGCACTGCCAAATGTAATTGTTCAGCCCCTGGGGCTTGAAGGCATGTTCTGCTTCCCACCTCTTTGTTCCAGGGTGGCCTCTCCTGCCTTCCTCTTTGTTAACTCCTCATGCTCAGCTCCCTGGCACCCCAGCATGGGCTTCTCTGTGTGGGGGGCTTCTGCATGCTGCCCTACAGTAGCTTGGGAGTATGGAGTTGCCTCCTCTCCTTCCTGCTTTGAGTTATTTGCATGGGACAGGAGCTGGAGGCAGACAGAGCTATTTCACCTAACCACCAGCTCTGCTGCTCACACATGCTCCAGGACATGACAGTGTCCACTGTGCCAAAGAATAACTTGAATAATCATGAGAACTGCAGAACACATTGCTCAATTTTCTCCGATAAAACTGCTGCTGCGAAACAGCCTGGAGGAAAATAGAAGCTTAATCAAACAAAGGACATTGATGCATTGATTAAACAAATTATTCTGTTCCCAGTCACATGTAGAATATGGTCTCGAACATGTGGGATCATTCATACCATTCGATTTAACCCTCTAGCCCCTTGATTCTTTCACAGAGCAACAAGAAAATGGCTTAGAGGCTTAAGGATCTTAGAGAAAGGCCCAACAGACCGAAAGTAAACACAAAAGAATTATAGTATTCTATCCTTACTCTGTCCATGGGAGCTAACTTAGCCTGAAGCCAAGAAAACCGTGATCTTGGAGATAGGGATGTGTCTTTCTTGACTCTCAGGCAGCAGCCTTGAATGAGGTTTTGCACAGCACCATTTTCATGTTATTTTCAGTTGCAGGACATCTGGACACCTGGTGAGGACTGAAATTGTGTAAATGGAAGCAGATTGAGTGGAGCATCGGAGTGTGAAGTGCCAGAGAGGATTTAGGGTGCTGCATTTAGCTGTTTTTTTAAGAGTCAAAAAGCCTCATAATGGAGTTACCCAGCTAGGCATAAAGTTTCAACTGTGCTTCCAGTTAAATACATAAACTGATTGCAAAACCTACCAATAGACCAGCAAGACTTGAGTCAGTGTTTGTTTATGGCCAGATGTGCTGCTAACCATGCTCACTAAACTTCACAGGAGCATGAACGAGCCCCAGAGTGCCTCAAAGTTGGTACTTTGGACCTGATCACACCCCCTAGCTGGCTGCAGTCACGCTGGCAGGAGGGCTTGTTAATTCTGTCTGCCCACCTACCTTCCCCTTCATGACTGCAGGCTCAGCCACTCTCGTGAATGTCCCCCACCTGCTCAGCCAAAACGTGGTGCCCTGTCAAGAGCCTGCTGCACACTCTGTTTACTTGGACATGGGCCAGCGTGGGATGGAAAGGTTCAAAGGAGAAGCAGAGCTTGCTGTTCAAAAGTGGTTGTAAGCTCTGTTGCAGGAGTGAGAGAGGAGAGGGGTAAGATGGGTGAGAGCTGTCGAGGGCAGAGCTGGTGCGACTGTGTCCAGAGAGGAAGTATCTCAGGTGTGGGATTAATCCACCCCCAGGTGTCCTTCAGGTCTTGGTGAGGGAGAAGACATGGTTGGTCTACTGCATCCTCCAAATTCCATGCAAGTGAATTGGGAGCTAAATCATTCTTACAAGCTGTGCCAGCAGCCAGGGTCTGCAGGGATGTAATACAATCCAGTCAGAGTTTCCTTTAAATGGGAAAGGGGTAGCCTGTGGTGTCCATGTGTCATTGCTGATTCTTCCACACATGGGTCCAGGCTCATTTGGAGCTATGAGCTTGAATAGAAAAATCATCAGCTCTGTGATACATTATCCATGGAAGTGTACAGAATGTGGGAAGCAATAGCTGCTGGTGGCAGAAGTTACAGCTGCGTGCATTATTTCTTCCGAATGGATTTTGAGAGCAGAGAGGTTCAGACCCCAATAATAATAATAGAAAGGGTGGTGGTTTGGGATTTCTTTTATTGTTAAAGTGCCTTTGGATCAAATTCACAGCTTCCAAATGAGAGTTTCTTCGTCCTGCTTCCTTTGAATCTATCAGCTGCACTGTTCTCTAACAAAAGTGGTAGATGGTTTGGCAGGAATTTACCTGGTAAAGACAAAAAGTGACAATAATTTGCAGATACTGAGAAATTTTGAGGGAAAGCATTTCTAATTTGCAAGAGGAGAGTGTAGGTATTGCAGAACTTGGGCTGATGACTTGTTGGTCTGCAGAAGCCACATGCTTTTCTCTGGACATGCCATAATCTCCACTGCCTTATCCCTCTAAACAGGAAAATATTTAGAGGGAAGGGTAGAGGTTACCGGAGGTGCCTAGTGTCAAACATGTGAGAGTGGACAACTGGGAATACTATGTAGACAGAAAGTAACTAATTGTGGATAAATTGTTGCTTCTTCTGGTGTTTTAAAATGATGCAAGGTCATCAAGATAGTGTGAAGTTCTGATTTTTCATGTATGATATTATGTATATATAGATCTGTATATATAAACAAGGTAAATAAATATGTGTGTTGCATATCTACGTCTATAAAACAGTGGATAATGGGTATACAGAAAAGTGTGGCTCTGATTTTAGAGCCCTCATTGCATCAGTCTTACTGAATCTGTGGAATTCAAGGTCACCCTGTGCTTTACAAGATGACCTCAGCATCTTGCAAAATTGAGCTTCTGCAAAGAAAATATTTTGTTTGCCATTTGAGTCATCAAGAAGAGCTTTCAAGTTGATTCTGTGCATAAGTGAATAAGAGTTCATAATGAAATAAAAGAGAATAGCTTTCAGGAATGCTTAAAAAATGTGTATTTCAGAAAAAAAGCGAGTCAACCCTATGGTCATAGTGTTTTATTATCAAAATCAATTAAGATAGTAGTTCGTCCCTGAAGAGATGTTTAAGCAAATACAGTAAAATTATTAAAGCTTTCAAAATTTTCCTTTTCCTTCCTTTTCATTCCCTTTATAATTATTTTGCTAGTTGTCTTTTCTTAAGAATTATCTGCAGAAAATAGCATTGCCTTTGGGATATTTGAGAATAACTGATAGAGAGAAAGTATCAGGGGCTTTAAGGATGTTAGGGATGAGTAAAATGTAAAACCAAAATGAAGCAGAATAATATGATTGAACTAGCATGCATTTTAATTAAAACCAGATATTGCACATTTAGTGCAGATTATTTCTTTCTGATATGATTTTGTGTAGGTTTTTCATCATCCATGTTATTTCGTTTTCATTTTCTTTTCCTTTCTAGTACCCTGAATTGATGGTTGCATCTTATAACAATAATGAAGATGCTCCACATGAGCCTGATGGGGTAGCCTTGGTGTGGAACATGAAGTTCAAGAAAACCACGCCAGAATATGTGTTCCATTGTCAGGTAAGGCTGAAGAAGCCATTGATTTTATGCTAGACAAAACAATTTACTGCATGGTGAATCTCCCCACTGTTCACATGAAAAGGTTAAGGTTAAAAAAAGGCATTTTTAGTAAAAGTACAAGTGACAGTCCAGTGTTTTTAGAAGGCAACCAGCCTTCTCAAACAAAAGCCTGTCAGGGCTGCATATCATTCTTCATCTATTTAAAACAGTCCCTAGGAGATGTAGTTCATAAATCCCTCGCACTTATGAAGTAACTGTGGTGTACCACTTCCTCATCCAGGCAGTCACACATGCTTTCCCACCCACGTTAACTTCCTTGCATCCTCTGCACTCAAGCTGCCTACCCTTGCCTTGGTTCTGCTCAATATCATGTTTTCCCTTTAAAATTGGGTAGTAAACTTTGCATTTTTGGACATGTGTCTGACTTCCAGCTTGATCAAAATGGTCTCGATTTCAAGAACTACTCCACCAATTCCTTCAGGTCAGTCAGTTTGACTGTCCTTTAGGTCAGCAAAATAGTGCTTCACTTCACCCAGTGCTATTTTACAATTATGCTGGCTTAGAAGTTTATGGACAATTCAAAAATAGTTGAGGGTTTCATTTCTGTATGTCTATTTACTCCTGTTTTGTCAGTGCTTTTGTGTGTGGAATGGCACAGCCTCATATTGACAGAAGTGTTCAGCTCACTGGCTCTATCTCCATCAAACTGTCCAAACTGAGGAACAGGGCTTGGGCCAAATTTCAAACCTCTTCATTAATATCCCTCTGTGGTAATTAAATACAGGACAGTGGCATTCAAAAAGCCATATGGAAAAGTTTCCGCAAGTAAAACTTAACAATCAGAGATTAGTAAAATGCAGATAATTCTGTGGTAAAAATTGCTTCTCTTGGAAGGATATGTATTACCTGGCTAATTGTGTAAGCTAAGTGTCATTTTACATTTGAGGTCCAAACATCTTTTTGAACTAAGTTTATGTTTGGACTTGGGTACATTATCAGATGTAACATAGTGGGAGGGAGATGCTGGAATTGAAGTTGCTGCTTCAACCCGATTAAGTAACCTTTAATTCTGGACATATTTTTCTAATTTGCTATACTGAAAAACAACTTCACAAGGAGTTCAGGCCTGCGAATATGCCATACAGATTTATATACATATATGTGTGTGTGTGTGTGTTTGTGTGTGTGTGTCTTGATATCATATTTGGCAGCCAATGTGTTCTTTCAGACTGCTTAAGGTCTTAGCTCAGATCCCATGTTCAGATTCTTCTATAAATGTACATGCAGCTTAATGTTTTGAACAAAACTTCCAAGAGAAGAGATGGCATTTCTAGTAAGGATAACCCTTAAACTAGATTGATTTTGCAAGATAATGACCAGATTCAGGGTAGCCCTCCTGCATACAGAGGAAGATTGACTAAAGACGTAACAATTTGTTCCAATAAAGTTCTGTCCAGATACACTTAGACAGGAGAGGTATGACTTGCTGCACTGAAAGCAATGAGACAGGCTGCACTCTCCATTAGGGAAACAAAAACACACAGGACAAAGCCATTGGCATGGCTGAGCTTCTGTCTAATCCTCACATTGCTGGATGTGCTCCCTTTTAGAACTGGAACCTTAAAACCTATGAATTCAGATTCATATATGACACCATGCTTGTACATGTATCCTGGATTCATTCTCTTTCAGCTAAAGAAAATCAGTTCTGCCCATGGGAAATACTTATTTTCTTTTCAAACTGACCATAGATAATTTGCATTTTAAGTCCGTTATGAGTTGGATCTGTCTTTGAACCACCATTATAGGGCTTTTGATGTGGAGTATCTTCTGCATATCTTCAGATCAGATAGGGATACCCACATGTGATTAAATGGGAAAGCAAAAAGTATGCAACTTGGTCCCTTGAACACAGGTTTTGTTGTAACTGACTCAGATGGAAAATAAGAAAAGAGCAGTAT